CTGCTGAATGATCTTAATTTTGACATTTGAATAAATAATGGAAACTTTTCTATTTTAAGGGTAAGTGTCCCATCAATTGGAATTAGTACCTTAAAAAAAAAAAGGCAGCTCTTCAATGGAGTTAATAGTGATAAAAAATGTTTGATATAAGCAGTACTTTTATAAAATAAGATATGCTGGAAATCATTCCCTGTAATTTTTTAAAATAAAAGGTCAACTATGTTAAACTGTCTTAGGGGATATTTGTTTAAACTCTTCAGGAATGTACACAGTAGATGCAAAACTTGATATAAACGTAAGTAGTTGTTGGGAAGGGTTGCTGAAGTCTTCAAGGACATTTTTGCCTGTTCCATTCCAGATGGATATCTAGTTCTCAGATAGCTCTGAAAAAAACAAAACAAAACCCTGTGTGAGCCCATTCAGTATTTCAGATGAAAGGAGTAAGTTTCTTACGGGAAGCTAATTAAAATTGAACAAATGAGGATAGGAGGACTTTCCATGGGCAAATTTACTCACAGGAAATGTATTACACAGTTAATGGTAGAACAAAATGGAAGGTTAAGAAACATCTATGAATTATTCTTTAGGTTGTTTACTCATAATGATAATGGTGACATTTCAAGGGATAACTGGTTTACTTTTTGAAAAGTAAAATTAGGTTTCTGTTCATATATGTCAATCAGGATATCACGATTGAATATGAGCAGCTGAACCATAAAAATATAAATAGGAAATATAGATGATACCTATAGAATATTGGGGTGAGAAAATAACTTTATCCCTAAAAAAAAAAGGTTGCTATGTATATAATGTTTTGACGGACATAATTAAAAGCCAAACAATTAGGAAAAGAAGATTAAAGAAAAGGTAATAGATAATTCATTAAGTTAAAAAATAGGTAATTCAGTAAGAGAAAACTTTTTTTTAAAAAGGATAGTACCCTGGTAAGACATGGACAAGCATACTTTCTTAGGCAGTTTAGGCTGCTGTAACAATTTATCATAGACTGGGTGACTTAAACATTTATTTCTCACTAGAGGCCCGGTGCACAAAATTGTGCACTCGGGAGGGTCTCTCAGCCCAGCCTGTGCCCTCTCGCAGTCTAGGAGCCTTGGGGGATGTCCAACTAAAGGTATAGGCCACCGGGAGCAGGCCTAAGCCTTCAGTCCAACATCCTTAGTGCTGCCGTGGAGGCGGGAGAGGCTCCCATCACTGCCAGCCATAAGCCTGGCTTCTGGCCGAGTGGCACTCTCCACTGTGGGAGCACACTGACCACCAGGGGGCAGCTCCTGCATTGAGTGTCTGCCCCCTCGTGGTCAGTGCACATCATAGAGACCGGTTGTTCCACCGTTTGGTCAATTTGCATATTAGCCTCTTATTAAATAGGATAGGATAGTAATTCTTGAGGCTGGGAAGTCCAAGATCAAGGTGCGGACAGATTCTGTGTCTGGTGAAGATCCTCTTCCTGGCTTGCACAGAGCTGAAGCAAGGTCTTTCCTGTCTCTCATGAGGGCTCCACCTCCTGCCTCACCTCCCAAAGACCTCACCTCCTAATACTGTCACATTGGGGGTTAGATGTGGGGGCGTCACAGACACTAAGTACATAACAGATATCAGGAAAAAAGTAATGTTTACAAGTTAAAACATTGTAAGGTAATAGTGCTGGGGAAGCTACAGGGCCTATAGCTTCACCAGCACATAATCCAGGACGTATCAGATTTTAAAATTGCAGAGTCATTCAGTGTCATCCTGTTGTTCCTAGAGTCAAGATCAGGCAGGGCCCCTGCCCCCTTTCTGTCTGTGCTCCCCTTAACCTACCTGTTGCAGGGAGGCTGGTCTCCCAGCCCCAGCACTCCTTCCAGCCCCAGGACTTCACACTGTAGCTGTGCTTTTTGCTTGGAACGCCTTCACACTTAGTCGTTTTTCAGCTCTCGTCTCATGGTCAGTCCTTTAGGGAACCCCCATCCCCCACCCCCCAAGCACTACTGTTGTGTTTAACATTGTTGCAGTTTAAGTTTATTTCCTTATTTGTCTCTTCCTGCAAGATAGCAGGGTTGTGAGGTTGGGGAGTGTGTTTATGCTCCTTATTGTATTTTCAGACTTAGAGGTAGTTCAAGACTGAAAGAGTGATTAAATGTACTCTTTTTGGATCAGGAAACATTTGAAGGGGTAGAGATTTAGCTTTTAGGATATTCATTGTATTATAATAGGAAAACATTCAAACTGACTGACAGTCAGCATGATGAGCTCTGCACACACCTTTGTACCCATTTGGTCCATGGTTAGGGATGGCTTGTTTCCAGGTTGTTGCAATCATCACATCCAGAGGGAGGGGCTGGGCTTTAACCTGGGAGCTAAATGCACTGTCAGAGCTAGAAGAAATATTGTGTAGGTCAGATCTAAAGCAGAGCAGTGGGCAGAGTAAGAAGGCAAAGATGATCACCAGATTAGTCTTCTGGGAGTTGGAGTGGGAGAATTGGAGCCACAGAATTCATAGTGGGGAGCAGCCCTTGGGGCACACCGTCTGGAGGAGCAAGTATCTGGTTGGAGCTGCAGGCTGGGCCTAAGGAGAGAAAAATACTAGTTGTGGATGGTGCGGCTGGTTCTAAGGACACGAATGAATGCATTACTCCATTTTTTTAAAAAAATATTTTTACTGATTTCAGAAAGGAAGGGAGAGGGGAAGAGAAATAGAAACATCAATGATGAGAGAGAATCATTGATCAGCTGCCTCCTGCGTGGTCCATACTGGGGATTGAGTCCGCAACCTGGGCATGCGCCCTTGACTGGCATTGAACCCCGGACTATTCAGTCCACAGGTTGATGCTCTATCCATTGAGCCAAACCGGCTAGGGTGCATTACCCAATTTTAAATTGTTTTCTGTACATTGCTAATTCCCTCATATTAGTCTCACTTGTAATTTTTTTTTTTTGTCAAAAATAATTAAAGGAGGCCCAGCCGGCATGGCTCAGTGGTTGAGCATCAACCTATGAACCAGGAGGTCACGGTTCGATTCTCGGTCAGGGCACGTGCCCGGGTTGCAGGCTCGATCCCCAGTAAGGATCATGCAAGAGGTAGCCAATTGATTCCCTCTCATCATTGATGTTTCTCTCTCCCTCTCTGAAATCAATAAAAATATTTAAAAAATAATAATAAAGGAGTTGTGTCCATACTGGGGCCAGATGGTGCCTGGAGAGGGGGGGTGGCCTGGAGGCGGGGGCGGCCTGGATATGGTTTCCAGGTGGCAGAAGGTGCATCACAGAAGCCTACACACGGGCTCTGGGCCAAATAGCAATTGGCAACACCGGGAGGGGTTCATGGCCTAACACTTCCCAGGACTGCTCGCCTTACAATCAGGGAAGACGAGGCTTTCTACATGGCGCAGTGCTGGTGAGAGCCAGATCGGAGGTGGGTGAAAGGAAAGGGGGATCCCGAGGGCTGGAGAAGGGAGACAGCTCACGCAGTGCAGTGGCCTGGTTCAGTGCCATCACTCGTCGTCGTCCTAATTCCTCTGGCTCTGACTCCCGCATCCTGTGGAAATCTGGCTTTTCAAATTAGAGGGAAAGGCCTCATTTGGAGCCTCATTTTTGCTGTCACTTAACTGAAGACAAAGGTGTGCTGATTGAAGACCAGTTTCTGTAAGTCTGGGAACGTCAGACCTGAGGGCCTGTTGTATCTGGAACTTGTTGCTGCTTTTGCAGAACTGCACTGGGTCCTGGAATGTGCTATTCTCAAGTCCGAGAGTCCTGGGAGCCCAGGTGGTTGGTGTGTGGGATCTGGTGTGGGGTCTGCAGGTGTGGGATCTGTAGGTGTGGGTTTGCGGGTGTGGGGTTTGCTGTGTGGGGTCTGTGGGTATGGGATCTGCGGGTATGGGGTCTGTGGTGTGGGGGTCTGTGGGTGTGGGGTCTGTGGGTGTGGGGTCT